ATAGTTTCTATATACTTTTGCTTTAAATAAGGGAGATTAATTGCTACTTCCGATTTAAAATAGGTCACTTCTGGTTGACATTTTCAAGGTCATATGTCTACTAACCTAATGCAAAAGATCCCAAGGCTTAATCATGTATAAATATGAATCTACAGCAAAGATCAAAATCTAGAACGTCAATTTTACCTTTGACCTTGAACTAAATTTCAAGGTCAGAAAGCAAGGACCTCAAATCAAATTATCCTTAGTCTCCACTATGTTAGGGAAATGAGTTCTATCCCAATAATGCTTATTTTGGGTATTAGAGGGGAGGAAACTCCCATCAAATGTCATCGCATCTTTTTAACCAAAATATGTATGTTACGACATGTCGCAAATATCAGTTTAGTAAAAATATTTTGTCGATATCTTACACGATTTCTGAAAAGAAGCAATATTAAGCCAAAATAAAAATTTTGAAGCTGACCTTGACCTTTGACCTTGACCCCCATTTTCTTTTTGGTGGACCAAGGACCTCAATTCAAAAGACCCTAGGTCTCTATCACTAATGGTTTACCAGTTACAATTACATTTCACTTATTTTAAATACAGAAAGGGAAATAACTCTCATATGGATTCTCCGGACCGCTTCGGTTAAAATTATTCTTAAGATTCTGAGGATATAACGAGCAAATTGGTGAAATAATTTTGTCGTAATCTTTTACAGTTGCGAAGGAGATGCACAAACAAGAAAAACAGTGTTTGGGGAGATAACTCTTATAATAAAAATTGTTCGGTTAAACAGGGTCAGTTTCAAAAGCGCAATAACTGTTCGATATCATATGCAAAAAATCTAAGCGACATCTTGCGAAACCACTATACACCACAAGACAAAAATGTGGCGGAAGAAGAAAAAAATAATAATCAGAACAAAATCAATAGGTCTTTCCACAGAAAAGTGGAAAGACCTAAATAGTCAAATCCTTCCAAAGTCAACATAATCCGAAGGACATTATCACGGCTTTGTGGCGTCAAATACGTTGACTCGACTTTAAAAACTTTGACCCGGACATATCAGCCACGTCATAATGTATGAACCGACATTGATAAGTTTGACCCAAAATTGTCAAGACATCTTCCGGTTTGCTGGCGAACAATTGTTTCTATCATACAAAATACGCAAATACAACCCGATAAATCGATTATTAGGTGGTCTGCATATTTATATTGTAAAATAGCAGCTGCTCGACACAATATGAAGCCTTTTTGAACTCGTTCGCTGCAGTCACTCGCCAAAATGCTTCATATTGTTACTCGCAGCTGATATTTTACAATATCAATATGCAAACAACCTGATAATCGATACAAAACAGTCATATCCTTCCAAAGTAAACAATACCGAAGAACGTTGTTACCTTAACAAAACAGTCAGATCCTGCCAAGTCAACAATACCGAAGAACGTTGTTACCTTAACAAAACAGTCAGATCCTGCCAAGTTAACAATACAGAAGAACGTTGTTACCTTAACAAAACAGTCAGATCCTGCCAAAGTCAACAATACCGAAGGACGTTGTTACCTTAACAAAACAGTCAGATCCTGCCAAAGTCAACAATACCGAATAAGAACGTTGTTACCTCAACAAAACAGTCAGATCCTGCCAAAGTCAACAATACCGAAGAACGTTGTTACTTTAACAAAACAGTCAGATCCTGCCAAAGTCAGCAATACTGAAGGACGTTGTTACCTTAACAAAACAGTCGGATCCTGCCAAAGCCAACTTTCTCTAATAACGTTTTAACCCTAACAAAACAGCCAAATACTACCAAAGCAAACTTTCACGGAGGAGGATGTTACCTTAACAGAATAGTCAAATCCTACCAAGGCCAACTTTCTCGGATAATGTTGTTACCTTAACCAAACAACCAAATCCTACCAAAGTCAACTTTCTCGGATAACGTTGCAACCTTTACAAAACAGCCAAAATTCTACCAAAGCCAGTTTTTCCTTTAAGTTGTTAACTTATTCAAACAGTCAAACAGCCAAATCCTACCAAAGCCAACTTGGAGGACGTTATAGCCTTAAAGAAACAGTCAAATTCTGACAAAGCTAACGTAACCGGAGGACATTATAACCTTAGTATTGTAAAAATTGGATAATTAGTTAAATGAAAAATCACATGTACAATGTTTCGTATAATCGTATAAAACAAGTTACAAGCTTTGGCTAATGGTTTCCCCTTTTTTACTAAAGTTAAACTGATGAATTTTATGTTTTCAGTTTTTTAATATCTTGTTACTGTTTTTAATCCTTAAAGTGTATTGAATATTTCCATTAAAAACGTTAATTAATCTTTTATTTAATAAGACTTAATACATAGAAATTACAATTTACATGTCACAAGATCATATTTTGTTTTCACAGGAAATGTCTTTGCTGTTAAGACAGTTTTTGAAGGAACATAAGGAGATATTTTCGTGTATGTAAGTATGATTTCGTATCTATTAATAAATCAAGTACACTTAAGCTTACGTCCTGTAATTATTATATGAATAGTAAAAGCTTGCTTCCAGGAACTATGATTATTCTTTATTACAATGTTATTTGGTGCTGAAAACTTGTGTCTGTGTTTTCAAGTCCATTTAAGTATTGAATTAATTACTTTTGTCTATGTTATTTGTTATTTCACTGATCGAAATTAAAAGGTGTGATTTGAGTTCTGAAACATTTTGAATTCCTTAATATATATTTTTACCTGTCCCTACCATGTGAATATGCCTGTCCACTCCGAACTTGTTTATGTGCCTGTCTCTCGTGATCCCTCTAACATGTGTATGTGTCTGTCCCTCGTGAACCCCCTTACTTGTTTATGTGCATGTTCCTCGTGATCCCTCTAACATGCGTATGTGTCTGTCCCTCGTGAAACTCCGAACTTTGTTTATGTGCCTGTCCCTCGTGATCCCTCTAACATGTGTATGTGTCTGTCCCTCGTGAAACTCCGAACTTTGTTTATGTGCCTGTCCCTCGTGATCCCTCTAACATGTGTATGTGTCTGTCCCTCGTGAAACTCCGAACTTTGTTTATGTGCCTGTCCCTCGTGATCACTCTAACATGTGTATGTGTCTGTCCCTCGTGAAACCCCGAACTTGTTTATGTGCCTGTCCCTCGTGATCCCTCTAACATATGTATGTGTCTGTCCCTCGTAAAACCCCGAACTTGTTTATGTGCCTGTCCCTCGTGTTCCCCCTAATATGCGTATGTGTCTGTCCCTCGTGAAACCTCTAACTTTTTTATGTTCATGTTCCTCTTGATCCCTCTAACATGTGTATGTTTCTGTCCCTCGTAGTTGTTTAAGGTTTAAATCCTATTGTTTATTTATTCTTATATATGAGTGTACATGGGCAAACTCTATAAAATTTATTCACTTCTTGTCTAGTAGTGTCGCGACGATTTGGAGCCCGACACATGTCTATTGTTGATCGTATATTCTTCTTTAGGGGTCTCTTTGTTTTATGTGTATTGTGTCATCTTGGTGCTGTCTCATTGAGGCACGCCCCTCTCTCACCTCCTTTGTTATAATTTACTCTGTCATTCTGTTTCTTCTGGAAACACTTTGCAGGAAATTGATTGTTAATTGTAATCTGGGATGACAGTCTATGGCTTTGCAAAACTCAAGGTAACGGAATCATTGTGTCGTGAACAAGTATGTTTGCTACTATACATTAGAGAAGTCTTTTTGTCATCATATAATGTTGATTCTATAAACTGTATGGTGGCGCAATAAAGTGCAAAATTGACCAACAACAGAGTTACTTATTCGGTATTCCTATTGATTTATTTTAGAAAACACGAAATATATTCATTCGTAAGTTTTACGAGCGCTATCATGATTTGGTTGTCCATTATGAAATACCTCTATCACAGATGACCATGGATATGTTCCACAAGTCGTAGACTCGGTCCCGTCCCCTTTTCCTCGACTGTGAAATTACCAAATACGACTTGTCAATTGAAATGTATTTGGTATGAGAAACACAAAGGGTGGCACACTTGGACCGGGAACTGCTTGTCCTTTCTAAGCACCCGGATATACCCCCATATACCCCCATTACTGGGGTGGGTTCTTGTTGCTCAATGTATTAGAATACTTTAGAATGTTGTGTTTTGAGTACTGTTGGTTTTTTTTGCAAAGTTGTTGTCTGTTTTCCTTTGAATTGTGTTTTTTGGTTGCCCCATTGCTATTTTCTCCCATTTTCTTTTTATATAGTAATGGTATAGCTAATTTCAAATGGGAATTTATATAAATTGCTCCTCTCATAAATTTTACAATTTTAAAAAGCAATTTCGTTCTAGTTTCGAACAAATTCGTTTGAATTGTTTTTACATCTTATTATGTCGTAGCCTTTCATAGCTGGGTTTTGCTAATTGTTGAACGACGTACGGTAACCTATAGTTGCAATCATCTCCGTCATTTGGTCTCTGATGGATTGTTGTCTCATTGGCAATCATACCACATCTCCTTATTTTATATAAACAACATATTACGTAATAAACGCTCTGTTTTATTTCACTCTTTGACGTTTTCATTAAATACCTTCCTTTGAAACATATATTTAGTGAATGTTTGTTGTGATATCATATGTTGCAAATTCCAGACTTAAACTCAATGTGACATTTTAAAGCAAACAAATATAGTGGTATTTCTTAATATAAAGTAGAAAATAATTTTTGCACCTGCTAGTTCTCCTATTGAAATGACTTGTATAATATTCTCATTTGCTCAGCTTCTGTTTAATGTTTGATAATAACATGCAAGCATGTAGATAAGTTCGTCCTCTTGACCTTTCCGCTGTCAGGCTAATATTGACAAACGTAATTATTGTTCAATATATAGAAAATTAATCCCTGTTTTCTACCGAAAATGATATTTTGATATAGGAATAAATGAAACACTGACATTTTAGATACATTATCGTATAACTCATATCAATAAATTTATTTTAGGACATGCGACAACCAATATTAGTTGGTGGCAATTGATTAAGTTGTGCATTGATGAAGTCTCGTGATATTCTCGTTACCAAGCTGACAAATTCATTGTTATATAATTATCATTGATGAATGATTCGGTTCGATAAGATTTATTATTTATTTGATAACTGTGATTATAAAACGCAAATTCTGAAAAGCAACATCAGTTCAGGTGTGTTGTGGCTACAGTAAGACAAGAAAGGGATCAATAACGCGGGGTTATTTCTTAACTGAGATTGATTGTCTCTGGTCATGTGACAATTTTTTAATGCTGTTCTATAAATTGAATTTTTGTGTTGTTTTAGATCTTGCTGTGCTGGAATTGGTATCTGAATTTAGATGATAGTGATATGGATTAAAAAGATTACGAACTATGTTTAGTACATATTAACTGTATTATGACTATTGGATATTTGTTTGGTACTTAGACAATGCAGAATGAATGTCTACTCCTGTTACTTAGCTCAGATATTATTATTTTTATTCTATGACGCTGGTAAGTACTCAATAAATTCAAAAACAATATATATTTTATAATGTCTACTTTTTGGAGAAGATGTCAGCCTCAATTCGAGAATAATGAAAACTACAGTTGTTTTCCATTCGTTCTGTTGGTTGATATAGTCTAACGTTTAATTTTGTCTGGTTTGATGGACTTCCTCGTTTTTGAATTTACTTTGAAGTTCGGTCTTTTTGTTAATAGTTTTTCAATTATCAATGATATTAACATTACGCTAAAAATTCGTCTTTATTCTGATTGTGCTACACTGTTGAAACAATTGAGCGGAACGCTTTTTTTCGTTCTTGCTATGCATTTTCTTTTCTCTTTTGATTTGTTTTTATGTTTCTTCAAAACAAAACATTAATAAATCTAATGAAAGTTCTAGCTTACAGAAAAAAAGTTTTTGATCAAATTTAGGTCACTTTACTATGTAGAATATACTTATGACTGTTGTCAACATATTTTTTCACAATTAATGGTAAGAGTATATCCTCTTCAACACGGGTAACGATAATAATATATCAAATTGAAATGATTCAATAATTAGAGCCATTTGCAAAGAAGAGAAAATTTCTCACTTGGATGACGTGCTATTCATTTAGTTCTTGAACATTACAGATATAAAATACAAATAGAGATGATTATATTTAAAAAAAAAATATTATTCTTTTCATTAGAATTATTTAAAAAAAGCTATTTAGCTTGTGAACTACTTGCATGGAATAAATAAGTGCTGAACATGAACAAACTAAAACCGCATCTTTATTATTTATTACTGTTTCCGGAATCTTTGAAAGATTTAAAAAAAAATTCACAAAATTACCTGCAATATAAAAAATAATGGAAGTGTCCATCACATAACATAAGACACCCAGGACCAAAAAGCAAAAAGAGAACGAAAAATGCGAAACAAGAATGATAAGAATAAGAAGCAGACATCGTGCCCTGGCAATCTTATGTTATTGGTCTCAAGTGGAAGATGTTATAAGACGAGTTTTTACAATCAGACCTACACAAATAGATGTTTTGTTGTTTTTAAGTTCACAAAAAAAAAAAAATAATGAAAAAATCCCCTCGAAGAATTGTCAATATTATACTCTCATATCCAAGACACCGCATTTTTACACAAACTGTTCAGTTCTAGAGTATTTTCTGACGTATAGAAACTGAAATACTAGCTAATATAAGAATGAGAATATGTGGTATGATTGCCAATGAGACCACCTTTTACCATATTCCGAATGACATGGATGTAAGCACAACAAGGCTAAAAATGTTTGTAAATGACATATACCTTTGCAAACAAAACGACGAAAAACTACGAATGTCATTTCTTCCAAGGTACGTAATTTTTTCACTTGAAGTTAGCAAAATGCATCCCTCCTAATACTGTTTAACATTTATAAGTACTTAAAAATGTTGCAATGCTTTGCAATGTACAAAATATATCTAAAAACAAAAATATATTAAGCGCTTCTAACAGCAATACCTGACCAGATGCATACGTATTATTATTGGTAATGTTCTCTTGTTCTACTACATTCTGTCGATACTTATATTTTGCCATTGCACATTGTCTTGTTTTTATATCATTGTTTATGATGGTTGTACACTTGCTCCGTTGAATGTGTACTGATTGACATTTTAGCCTGGAACACGTGATCAATTTACAAGTTGGAATTGACTTTGAACTAGATTTCAGCAACTGTGAGAAATCTTAGATCGGTACTTTGTGTTTTATTTATGTCCTTTTACGAAGTTTTTTTTTGGTGCTTCGTGCCGATTCAATGAGTAAAGCTTTTTCAAACTGATTAATATAGTTTATTTGTATATTATGCTGCTACACCACAATTCCTCTTACAAAACATGTCCATCCCCGAAACATTCTTTATGTACCTCACCATTTTGTCTCATAGGCAATCATACCACATCTCCTTGGTTGAATACATTACATACTCCAACACACTGTAAGATATAGATCAATATTTTAAATCTTAGAACATTTTTATTGATATAATTAAGAAGTAAATTGACATTCGATATCAGCACTACAAAATCCTTTTTGTTATGCATCGATAGTCATTACTCCAATCCTCAGTTGTTATATATATTCCATTTATGACAAAGGTCTAGATGTGTTTTCCCAGGATGATTCATTTGAAACAATTGAATTATGCAAACTCTTTTTTTTTTACATAAAATTTGTTGATCATGCATCGCATATATATTTGAATAGTTGAATTTAAATATCAAAAGCTTATTATAAAATTAGCTATTGGTTTGCTAGGTAAATCTAGTAACTGAAAATACGAAGCTTAAGGTAAATGGTCATTTAATGAGTTGACATCCCATATGAACGATTACTCATCCACAGAATTCCAAAAGATACTTTATGAAATGTTGTTTAAAAAATAAAATGTATGAGCATAAGCCAACAGCAAGTTTACCGCATAGCAAGCACAAAGACCTATCAAATCACATTAGTCTTTGTCCTTTTATCCTTAACATTACTTGGGTTGGCTTCTAGTTTATCAAAGATAGAAGAAACGGCACTCGATACTGTGTGGCAAGTTTGACATAAATCCTTTTCCTTTTGACCTTGAAAATCTAAAGAAGCAGTCTATCTTCATGTAGGTATTTGTATACAAAAGTTCATACAGTTTTAAATCGTAAAGGTTTTTACTTGGACACCTGACGAAATCTTTATCTTTGACCACTTAAAATCAAAATGGTCAACATTGAATCTATGTGTGGTGATAATGTATACACGGTTTGCTTAAATATTTTGATAAATTATTCAAGGAGATAATTTGTCGTTCATTATTTTTATTTTTAAATCATTATTTTTAAAAATTATCCAGTTACACATCTGTCAGGTAACGAAATAAATAAAAACAATCCCAAGTGTTCTGAAAGGTCAAACAGGTTTCTGTTGTTTCATTTGTCGTGTTCACACTTTTTCATGACATTCAAAATGACCTTTTAACTCAATGTACAATTCTTATTTGACAAGACAAATACTTTTTATAGATGAAATATACAACATATTGAGAATACATGTTAACAACAAGATCACTCTATACCGAGTTATGAGAGACTATAAAACAATTGTTTATAATACAAGTCAACTATCATGAGTAAACAATGCATTGTCGCTTTAATAAAATGCACTGCGAATTGTGGCAGTATAAAACACCATAATTTCATTTGTTAAAAGAAATATCAACTTGTCATCATCAGGCACATGTAAAAAAAAATCTTAATCAATACCATGATTGAAATTAACATTAAGGTTTATATCTGCAGTTTATATGTATGTATTTTTTTACGATTTCAATTAATGTATTCATACCATTCTTGCTTAAAATTTTCAAAAGATATATATTTAATATTCGTAATCAAAGTCTAGTTTAGAATAGCATGCTTACATAAATACTTACCACGTATGCACCTTTTTTTCATTTTATTAATTTTGGCCAATTTCTTAAAACACTGACCGTTTGATTATTCATCATAGAAATACATAACAGGTGTGTATTTCCGGCACAATGAAAAAGTGCATAGTAGACTCCATCAGTCTATCTTATCCAATTTGTGTTTCGGCAAATAGAATATGTTTAAACTAAGCGCAGTGCTCTTTTTGTTGACTCAATTTATACATGAAAAACCAAGTGTTCCCATTTAGAGGCACCATAATCTATACTTGAACAGATAATACCATAGAAATTACGGAATTGTATGTTACTTACTGTTTTAGTATTAATTATTATTCTTGTACATGGAAATCACGTTTTTTTTTAAGGAAAATTTACTTAGAAACCAAAAGCATATCCCTGGATACCTATAATAGCATAAGGGGTTTTAGAGCATTTTAGTTTTCTCATTAAACTGTAAAGAAAATAACGCTTTATAAATTTGGTGCATTAAAAACATAAGGATCTCAAGGTGTTTCATGAAATTGACCTTTATTAAATATGAATAAGAAAGTATATCTTTATTTCAAACACTGAATTGTACGATGACTGTTCATCACTATTTTTAATGAACATTGAAATGTAAGATAAAATTTTATTCTAGAATGGGGAAATATTTACAATTCAATGATTCTTGTATTTGCAGTTTTCATATTTATTGTTCTGTTACTTCAAAAATGTTAAAGGAATTTCTAAAGCCTGTAGATAGTCAACAATTCATATACGTATTGATCTTCTACAGCTAATCTGTAGAAACTGTATGCCTTATTGAATTCAGCTTTGAGTTTTTTTATATATAGTTACTATTTCTATACAAAGTTCGTTTTATCATTGTTAAAAAAAATATGTTGACATAGTTACGTTGGCCTACAAAAACAACTCGAAAGAAAATATATGTAAATGAAGCTGTAAAGCATGGCTAATTTACTTGATACACCAAAGCGAAAGTTTTATCTTTACTACCATAATGTTTCATGTTGACGATGCAAATTCCAGAAAGTAGATGTATATTCAATCATCTATTACATTAGAAATAAACAACTTTTACATCAGATAAAATGATCAAGGGCTAACGAAATGATTAAAAAAAATTGTATAATTGAATTAACATACGAAAATGTATATTTTGCACAGTTTGAAAGTTGGTATTTCTGTGGATATTTATTGATCGGAGTTAAATTATTGTCAATCATAAAGATCAACTTAAAACACAATCATAAATAATAAACACGGAATTAACTTCATGGGTATTTCAGAAATGTACTGTGTCAGCCATATATCTCGCTTTATGTGTTACTTTTAAAGTACTCACAAATGTAATAAGTCATTTTGGTATTCTAGTACTGTATATATTTCAAAAGGAATGGATGTTGATATAAAAAAAAAAATTGACGTTGAAAAGGTTAACAATATTTTGATTAATAGATATAGGATTTACTGGAAAAATACTGTAGATGCTATTGCAAATGTTGAAAATTGCATTCTTATTTTAAATTTAAAAACATCTTCAAAAGGGAATGA